GGCAGCTTTATTTGAAATTTGGGGCCTTAGGCAAAGACAGCCAGGGGGGCTGCTGAATTTAGAAAACAAACCCATTATACAGATAGAGAAATGTTAATAGAATATACAAACATTATTAGTATTATTACTATTATTGTTCTACATTTTGTCCCTCTCATCCCTTTTGTTTTTCTATATATGCTTTCTTTGGTCCCTTTTTCTTTTTATATTGGCAATAACTTCAGCTGTCTTTTCATGCTGTCTCTAAAGGAATGAAAGATTTTTTCCAAGCACTAAGCTCACCTAGCTGATTGCTCCTTCCTGTGTTTCCAAAAAGGCCAAAGTAAATAACCCAGTCCTTCTTTTCACTGTAGACAAGCCATGATCTGCTTCTCTGTTCTCCATTTTTCATTTGGATGAAATAATAGCTGCATGAATCATGACAGCAGACAAGATAGAGGAGAGCAGGAGGCGGGGTTACCAATCTACTTGCTCTGGAGAGCAGAGTTCGCTGCTTTTAGATGTTGTCTCCAAAGTCTCCAGTAGCAGAAAAAAGTAACTTGATTTGGTGCTAGGTGCTTTTTTGTAATAAAAGTGCTAGAGGCGTCTGAAAAGTGGCTAAATATAGCGACTAAAGCGCTAAGTTGGCAACTCTGCTCTTTATATTGATTGTTTTCAAATGGTTTGCTGCTGTCTGTTTGGACCTTTCTGAACATGTGCAGCAAATGGACTGATCCAATATGGTGGACACTGAAGGGGGGGGCTGAGACACACTTAATATTATAGACTGCCACAGAACTGACTGTGGAACTGCCATGCAGGCTACAGATGCCGTTTAGTAGTCCAACAGTTACTGGAAGAGGAGCCCATTAAGCTGCTAAAGCAGTCAGAGAAGTTGTTGATGAATGTGTTAAAAAAAAACCTGTATTTCCATGAGGAAATATTTCAGCCAATTGAATTACTCAGACAACAAAGGAACATCGTACCAAAGATTTTTAACTCTATATTTACTGGTTGTTAATCAATTAACAGCAGGTGAATCAACATTCATTTTGCAACCGATATGTTAACGATGTCTTTGACTGAAAATAAAACGGTTCTGTAGCTCAATGCATCAAGATGGCACACAACAGATCGCACGGGACAAGAAGTCGTGCGCAGAAACAAATAAAACATCCAGTTAATTTTCAAACTAACAATAATAATTTTATGCGTTAACTTGCCCTAACTTCAAGTTTCACCATAATGGTCCTTCACAAAGCCTAAGAATACCCCATTTTTTATTTACTCTTGTAATATTGTAGACTCCTATATTTATGTATTTAATATAATTGCTTAAATGTGCATATTTGATCTTATTTCAACTTATTTTGTAGCATTTTTTACTATTTCATACTTTGACATTGGGTTGCTCTGAGATGTGTAAAACTAATTTCCTTTTATGTTAATGTGTTAAAATGACTAATAAAAATAGAAATATAAAGTAGAATTGGCATATTTTTTTCATTTCTATCATTTTAGTATTTGACTGTATTGAAATACTTCACTATAGGAAAAACAGGATAGGAAGGAAAAGGCCAAGCAACAAGAGGAGCAGTGAGGAGAAGGAGAGCAGGTACTAGAAAAGGAAGATAATGCTGATATGTGTTTTAAAAATCAAATATTAAATGCATGTTACTTGAAGCATTGTGTAATATAATGATAGGATTATGTTCAAAAGCTGAATTTCCATAGAAAGAGTGAACAGATTAGGCATTATTATCACTATGATAATGTAATAGAGTCTGGGTGTCTATTTTAAATACTGAGCCTGGTTCTGATGAAGGTTTCTTCTGGTTAAAAGGGAGTTTGTCCTCTCCACTGTCGCTACAAGCATGCTTAGTGTGAGGGATTGCTGAAGAGTCAATGAGTCGATGCAATCAGCTGGTTTTTCTTAGCTAGAAAACTTTGAACCAATGTGACAGGATGATCTGGTTGAACTGTAAAGTGCCTCGAGCTGACGTGATGTGAATTGGCGCTATAGAAATAAACTGAATAGAATTGAAGTAAAGATGAAGCAACTTATTTCAATTATACTGGAACATCTTTTGTGAAACATTTCTAGCCAGTTGTAGACAGAAACTTCAAAAGAAAGATGACATTAAAATCAAGTTTGTACGTTTCAAATGGCTGAAATGTCTTGCAGCGAAAGAGGAACAGAGTAATGCACCGACTTGCCTATTCCAAAGTCAGAATGATGTTGCTTTTGCTCCCTAAGACTCTGAAAACTGTAAGATTTAATTAATTGAATTAAAAACATTTTCTGGGGTGTATGCCACTGAACCCACCTAGAAGTAGTTTAGGGTTGACCTCAGTATTTTCTGGGCCCTGCGTATGGCCTTGCCATAAATAGAGATGAAAAACATGATGTGTGTCCTGGGTTTGTGGGCTTCTGAAACCTCCCTGAGGAACAAAAAGCAGTTTCACTTTTCAACATCTACTGGTTAACCTTTACAGTGGTGAGTTAGCCTCTGCTGTTTATTCTAACCTCTGCCAAAACAGGAAACCACCGTGGTGAGATCAGATATGCTCATTTTTCCATTTCTGCTTTACTAAATGTTTAAAACTTTGTCAGAGTGGATGTATTTTCAGGTGATGCTGAGGATTCTTAATTAGATTTAGTTATGAATTTAGGGCCATGCTAATCCATAAATATGAATAAATAAATAAAATTAGGAGTACCTGACCTAAAACCTGCAATGAGGAAATGTAAAAAGCTGCATCAAATGCACCACAATGTACAAAAAGGAAGCACCAGGAATATATGATACAATCGGTGTCATAGTAAAACACGAGTCACTTTGTGGCAGGAAAATATAGTTATTTATGATTTTGCAGCTTTGATCTGCATTTCTGGATTCAATTTAGTGTGAAATGCTTTGGTCTATTGGTGCTCCTTCCCTCCATATCAGACTAGCTCCATGCTGTAGGCTTATTGACAACAGCGTCAGTAACAAAGACCAAATACTTCATTACCTTCAGTAGAAATTCTGGCTATCTATACTTTACTGGAGTAATTATTTTTCAGACAACTTTTTACTTCTACTCCTCTCATCTTTTTTACAATGATCTCTACTTTCTACTCCTATTTTAAAATAGACTCGCTAGTTTTGTTCCCTTTAAGGTCACTTTCATTATGGCCTGGTGGTATTTATAGAAAATAAAACCATCAAAATAATTAGTTCCATCCAGAAAATGTCTTTGTGGTTTGACTCAGTGCTGCCCCAACTTATTGTTCGCCTCATACCAGAATAAAACTTCTTTCAAGATGATGCAAAGTTAATAGTGATACTTTTACCATTAGTTATAAAACTAAGAAAATGAAGTCTAAGGAAGTTATCATCCAGAATTGGAGAAAATGTTTCTTTAAGTGGGTAGTGCAGTAAAGCTTCTGACCTTAACAATTTTTCCTGCATTACTTTGTGTCATGTTGGGTATGGGGATCAAACCCAAATGCAGAACACACCACGGAGACAGGGGTAAAAAGTTCAACAGTTTATTTTGAATCACACAGAAGTCCGGGATGACTTCACAAGGGTTTCTCTGTAGAGAAGGGATAGTTAGGTTAGCCAGAGGTCTGGGGGATCTTGACACAGTCAGATACTGATCTGTACCTGGAGAGATTCAGATTGACGCAGTGAGAGAGGGAACCAGGTGGGTCCAGAGTTTGAGGGTTCAGCAGAGAGCTAGCAGCGGTAGAGTTTGACTTCAGACTTGAGCTCAGACTTTGAATGGTCAGCCAAGGTTCTCTCCTGAGAACTGGAACAGACTCAGCTTGAGGTTCCTCAGGTTTGGCTGTCAGGGCAGGCAGGCAGGTCTAGGAAGCAGAGAAGACAAAAACAGATTAGGATCAGATTACTCTTCAGAGTATCAGATCAGCAGGCTCGGCTCAGGTTCTGCTAACCATAACTGGCAACACTCTGGCACTGAAGACAGGTCTGGCCGCTGCTTAAGTAGTTGGTCTCCTGATGAGAGGATGAGCCTCAGGTGTGCAGGTGGCTCAGCTCAGGAGACCCAGGACGCCCTCTGCTGGAGAAAGGTGGCAGAACTCCAGATCCCAACACTTTGACTTTTATACTTTAGTTTAAAATGATACTTTTACACTTTTACTGGAGTAAAAAGCTTAAGATGATCCTCCAACTTCTTCAAAAGTGTTTTGAAACAGTAGGATTTATACTTTTACTGGAGTAATAAACATTCATATCAAATGGTTGAACTGTAAAGTCCCCTAAGATGATATGTGTTGTGAATTGGTGCTATATAAATAAACTGAATTGAAGTAAGAATTTTGACACCTATGTTTACTGATCTCTGAGCCTACACCCACTCCAGTATATGTTTCTGAAATTTTAAAGCCATCTTTTTTTTTTTGATTTGGAAAGACACCTATGTGTTTTTCTGCTAATCTACTCTCATGCTTTATTTTTATGTGCAGCAGCTTTAAACCCCCCCTTCTATGTCCCTCCTTGTGAAAATTAGCCCCAAAGCATGATGCTGCCACTGCTGTGTAGGATTGTGTTTAGTGATGCATAGTGTTAATGTTTGGTGGTAATTTAAGGCTTATCTAATGTTTTTCCGAACATCTTTCAGCCAGATGACCTTGTTTTTACACAACCTGAATCCCACAAAGGATGTTTCAGACGCTGCTGTTTTACAAGAGAGTGTTTGAGTCAGGAAATCAAATAATGGCTGCAGGGTGAAAAAAAAAAAAACTATGGAGAGAGCCTGCATACTGGAACCAAGTATATAACATGGGGAAATGCAATATTGCAAAATGTAGAAATATAAAGTCAAATAAATATATTCCAAAGTGAAACATAAATACATTTGATCTGAATCAGGCCTGTGTCCTCAGGTTGCAGGATTACTGTTATGGAACCAAAACCAAAGGAAAAAAGACCAAAAAACCAAAACCATTAGAATATAGTTTATTAGAGTAGAAATAATTTTCACATGATGTCTGTTCTCCTTTCTTTGATTAAAGAAAGTAAGTACATTCATTCTTTTTCTGAGGCCCATGAAAACTTTGTTGATTTCTTCCCTGATTTCAGCATCATCTGTCTAACAGGCTAAATCTGTTCTGGTGATGGCAGTGAGGACCGGCTCTAACACTGGTTTCCTTGGTTTTCTGGTCCATAACAGGGCTAGACCAGCCTCACGAAAGTTCTGATGGTAACAGTAGATGAACGGGTTCAGACAGCAGTCCAGGTACGACATCACCGAGGACAGGGTCCGCAACCAATCAGGGGCCGGAGCCAGGTTCTTCCGACCCAGTAGGATCAGCTGATTGGTGAATGGAGCAGAACAAAAAGATGAGGTCAGGACAAAAATATAAAGAGTACATTTATTGTCAGGGTTAAGTGTTTTTGAAGACCCAAAAGCAAAGGTGAGCCTTGTAAATTGAATAAACATCCAGAGGAAAACAGGGGCAAAAATCCCAAAAAACAAAATACTGATAACCCAGCAGGTTGGGAGCAGGTGTGGACAGAGGAGGCTAGAAGGGAGCTAGAGAAAAAGACTGACACAAGAGATCAGCAGAGGGCAAACAATACCAAAAAAATCAAATACAATCAAAAATAAGCAGAATAACACAAAATAGAGATGAAATCAATAAACTGAAAAACACAGAAAGACATGAATGAAAGTAATGAAAACTCAAAAAAGAAAACAAAAACAGAACCAAAAATGCTGAGTCATGCCATCTATAGTTTGAAAAATATGCTGCTCCAGTAAATGGAAACAGCAGCAGGTTCTAATCCCTGTGTTTTATTACTTTTTTTTTAGTTTAGAAAGTTTGTACTAGAAGTTACTGGAAGTTAGAATATGTGTACCTCAGACATAAAAAAGGGAGTGTAGCAGATGACGTAAGAAGCCACTAAGAGAGGCGCCACCTCAGACAGATCTGATTCTTCATCACTGGGACTGAAGAGAAACACAGTAAAGATGTCTGCATTATTACCTCAGAGTTAATGAAACTCTTACTGTGTAAAACTTATCATTTTCCTTTAATGATACATCAGGATTATTTAGTCATAAATTGTAATCAAAATCATAACGACATAACAAGCTCCACTGTTCCTGCTGCAAGATGATGTGTTGTATCCTGCTGAAGATGCAGTGATACATTTTTTAATGATTTTTCTTCTTTTCCTCACTCACTATATCCTTTTCTATGTTTTCCTAAATGCAGTGGAAAAAATCTAAATCTAAATAAGTCATTATTTTCTAAACATAAGTGCATTTGTTCTTGAATTGAGAATGTAAAAGACATTTTGCCAATGGAACAAGACAATTTACATTTTAAATAAGTAAACACAATTGCATTGTCTTATTTCAAGTGCATTTTATCTTAAGATCCTATTTTAAGAGTAAAAAATAGGTCATCTAATTTACGTTAGTAAATTTGATGATTTACTAACGTAAATTAGATGATTTGCCATGTAAATAAGTAAATAAGTAAACATTTCTTAAATTAAATGAATTACCCTTAATCTGAGTAGGTAAATAGTTTGCCAATGGAATGAATATTTGTACTCTTAAAATAGGATATCTAGATAATATGCACTTGAAATAAGACAATGCAATTGTGTAAATTATTTATTTTAATGTAAATTGTCTTTTTTCCGTTGGCAAAATGTCTCTTTTACCTCCTCAATCCAAGAACAAATGCACTTATTTTAAGAAAGAATGACTCATCTAGAGTTAGATTTTTTTCCGGTGCAACATGTTTCTCATCTATTGCTTCCTAATGAACAGTCACATCAGTAGACAGCATTCAAATGGGTCACCTTCTCTGAGACTCTATCAGTCAAACACGTGAAGACTGGAGACGCTGACAGAGTAGTTAAAGACTGTGAACTAGAAGGAAACCTTCTCACTAGGGTCACCTGGTGTACCTGTTGCTGGAGCTGCAGCTTACAGCATTCCTTAGAGAGCAGATAAGCATGAGGAGGAAAGGCAGGAAGATGCAGATGGAGAAAGCACAGAGGATATAGGTCATCGTGTCCGAGTAGCTGCTCTCCCAGAACACAGCACACAGCATCTCTGCAGGATCATACCTGAAAGCCCAGAAAGAGGATTTATTGAAAACCAGAAAAGGGGGCTAGAGCTAGCATTCCTGAGCTAACAGACCTGACCCAGTCGTAGATGACTGGGATGCTCCCAAACCCCACCCCTGTCATCCAGGAAGTCAAGCAGACTGTTGCCATGGCACCAAAAAGAGCTGTTCTGGTGGACGGCAGGCCAATCAGACGCTGCACACTGAGAATGGCTGTAAAATAGGTCTTGATTCGGTTTAATCTTAACAAACCCACAGATTTAATGCTTTGAAGATCTTAATCACAAGATTCTCAGAGTCAGAAACTGTTAGCTTTGCAGTGATTCAGCAGGTGAGAGAGGCCATGAGTGCTGCAAAAATCATCTAGAAATAAGTAAAAATTTCTTGAATCAAGTTTACACTTGATTCAATCATTTAATCATCCCATTTACATACTAAAATTAAGGGTAAATACACTTGATTCAAGAAATTTTTACCCTTAATTTTAGTATGTAAATGGGATGATTTGCGAATGGAATGAATATTTTTGCTCATAAATGATATAATTAGATAATATGCACTTGTAATAAGACAATGACATTTTTTTCTTATTTTAAATGTAAATGGTGTTGTTCCAATGGCAAAGTGTCTCACTCACCTCCTCAATTCAAGAACAAATGCTCTTATCTTAAGAAAAAATGAAATTTTTGCAGTGAGCGAGGAGGAGACAGAAACTTTATCATTGTTAGGAAATGAAGATTAAGCGTAAATTCCATTTGGAAGACTCTTATCAGCTTCACCTGAATCCCCTGAGATGTCCCTCAGCCGCAGCCAATGAACTCTGGAGCCGCACTTTCTCCGAAGCAAATCATTTTGAAGGATCCCCTTCAATGATCTCCTGGCCCTGCTTCTCTCTCCTGCACGCAAGTCAACTTTCACCCACCTCCACCTCATCTCCTCTCTCATTCTTAGTCCCGCTCTCCTTCTGGTTATTATTATTCCACCACCAGTGTCTGGGAAAGACTACTATAATCCTTTTCTAGGTTAATAATAAAGCGTATGTACATTCACAGCATCAAAGTCTTCTGGCGGGGCCGGAGCACCACAGAACTTATTTCGTTTATGTCTCTATTTTTGCTTTTGTCTCCTTGAACCCCAGTGGGCCTCAGCAGATGGCCGCTCACACTGAGCCTGGTTCTGCTGGAGGTTTCTTCCTGTTCAAAGGGAGTTTTCCTCTCCATTGTCGCTACAAGCATGCTTAGTGTGAGGGATTGCTGAGAGTCAATGCAATCATCTGGCTTTCTTTTTTTGTGATTGGACTTGGTATAAAAGAATATGATTGTGCTAATTGTATAGCTAAATTGAATATTAACTAATTGCAACAGGTTGACCCTTTTGTCTGATACAATGTTGTCTTCTAAGAGCTGTGATTGGCTGAAATGCACTCCAGTCATTAATGCAGAGAAGCTATGTTCGTTTTGGACTGATCCATGAATTAGGTACCAGAGGTACCAGAACCAATAGAGTGGGTCATGCTGTGTGATGGTGAGGGGAGGGGGCATTTAGTGTTGTTTGTGTTTTCTTTAGTCAGACACTCCTAGCCTGATAGTGGTTGGTTTTTATAGGTTACTTAGTTTGATATATTCCTACCAGTGTTTTTTTTTTTTGTCTGTTACATATGTTTTGGTTTGTAAAGTTACATTATTTTCATTTTTTGCTTTAGCAGTTCAACATGTGTTTGTGTTCTCTGTTAAAGGAGGTCCAGCCATAAGAATCTTCAGCAACAAACCCCTCTAATATGATATAATATAAAATATTATCTGGAATTGATTTTTGAATTGAGCTACAATGTAACCGAGAAGAAATAAGTTATTTTGATCTTTGTTTTGAGCTCAGCTTCTCCTTTTTATAAACTTTTTCTTAACCTTTAATGTCAAACAATCTGTTCATTCTGGGGCTTTTAAACAGTCTTTCTGGCTTTTGTGTGCATACAATGAATTTAAATTATAGTTAAGTTTTTCTTTTTGAAATTAGCTGCTTTGGAAAAGTAAGTAGAGCACCTATGCTGCCAATGGAGGAGGAGATGAAAGCAAACTTCAGCAGGCTGACGACTTCACACCACGGAGACTTCTGTCCACCTGTCAGAGCCGCCATCATGGAGCCAGACGTGATGAGAAATGAACAACCTGCAAAAATACATCATTTCATGAATCAAAAGAAACAACGAGCATAGAAAAGTACATTGAATAAGAAGGTAAATAGACCAGAAGAGTTAACTGGAAGGATTATGGTTTAACTGGGAGTAGAAGAGGTACCTAAATCAGATATGGTGAGACTGATGAATGGAAGCCAGTAATGACAGCAGAACTGACCCCTGCACTGAAAAACACAATGAGAGGCAATCAGTAATGTGTTGAGTATAAGGGTAGCTGTAATACAATAAAAAAAGATCTATCATGTAAACAAAATATAGATTTAGATCAACCACTGCTTGTTAAACATGTAGAAAACAAATCAGACCTTTTGCTCAGATCAGATTTATCGGCCAGCACTCACAGCATTCAGACATGGAGCAGAAATATTCAAAGTTTGAAGGAAAAAAAAACACCTGATGATAGAGCAGTATGCACTGGAAAATAATTTAAATATAAGTAAGTCATTTTTTTTTTTGAAATAAGTGAATTTTTTATTGAATTGTGAAGGGAAGTGTGACACTTTGCCAACGGAACAAGAATATACACATTTACAATAAGAAAAAACAATTACATTGTCGAGTTTCAAGTGCATATTATCTAATTATCTCATTTTAAGAGTAAAATTCTCATTCCATTGGCAAATTATCTTATTCTGCAGTATTGATATAGTATAGATAGTAAGAGTAGTTTTACTCTTAAAATAAGATAGTTAGATAATATGCACTTTAAATAAGACAAAGCAATTGTGTTTTGTTATTTTAAATATATATTATCTCGTTCCATTGGTAAAATGTGTCGTTTACCTTCTTCATCCACTTATTTGCACTTATTTTAAGAAAAAATGAAAAAAAAATTCCAGTGTGAGTGTGTTTCTGAAAAGATAATTTTTATAAAGAAACTAAAAAAAGAGGATGGTGGTGAAAATGTGTTCATTTAATTTCCCAGCAGAGTGGCTTTCTCCTGCTCATCCTCTTGTTTTTTACAGAAACAGGAGTGTCCATTTTTCATTAATTATGCTCAAGATCCAGAAAGTTCTTGGTGACAGGCAGTTAGGTCAGGACTATGGAAGCATGCACTCAAACCTGAAACCAGCATTCCCAGCAATCTGACCACCTTACCATGACTTTGACGATCAGGACCAGACTGTTTCCCACAACTCCAACCAGCATCTCTATGCCCAGCACAGCCACCAGCAGCCACTTCTCCTCCTCAGTCCACAGCTTTTCAGAAAGCTCTGTCCCATTGAAGCCCTCACTCACTGAAAAAACCAACAACTTTGGAACAAACTACTCTGCTTTCAGCTTCATCATATCTGCTGCTGCTGATTAGAGATTCATTCACACTGACAGATTACATGAAACAAACAACATGCTGGTGAACAGGGAATATTAAGATGACTAACTATCCTGTAAATAAATAAATAATAGGTCTACAAACTTCCGATTTATTTTCAGAGACGGTCGTTCTTACTTGTCTGGTGAGTCTTCGGTCTTAGCACCCCTGACTAAGTGATTCTGCTCAGAGAGCTCTGGTGAAGGCATCATCAGAAACCTTTTTAATTAAATTTCACACGCTCTGTTTCATTGACGCAACAACAAGGCTCGTCCGCTCTGTGCTTGTTCCTGTGACTTTCTGTGATTAATCATTGGATGAACAAACGTCTGACTGCGGTGTGGCAGGTGTTAAACGCAGTAAAGGCCTGGCTATCTCTGCCTTCACACGTTGGTGGTACGACTAAAGAGACGACGTTCAAACATTGGTGAAAGATGTGGATGCTGTGTCCTGCTCCGCTACTGGTTATAAGACAATGCTGGTTATAAGGTTATAATGATGCTAGAGAGAACATCTCAGGAGTCTTATCTGTGATCGGGGAATGACGTCACACCCAACATAGTGCTGTCCCAGCAGGTCATCAGGACACCAGAGGGAGTTGTTAGCGGTTGCCCCTAGAGACCAGACTGGCTATAGCTTCAGTACAAGCTGCATTTCCTTGCTTGTGATGCCATCTTTGTGATGCTAAGGGATTCAGTTCACAAATACGCTTTTTGCATCACTTAGGCCACTGAATTAATAAGATACAGCTATAGAAACATCATCATCGTTTTATTTCTTCAGATTCCTTATTGTGCCTCACGGCCATGAGAGAAATATTTACATGTATTCTGCTCTAATATTGGTCTAACAATTCAATTCAGTTTATTTCTATAGCGCCAATTCATAACACACGTCATCTCAAGCCACTTTACAGTTCACCAGGTCATCCAGTCAGATTGATTCAGTTTTCTCTCTAAGGAAAACCAGCTGATTGCATCGACTCATTGACTCTTCAGCAATCCCTCACACTAAGCATGCTCGTAGCGACAGTGGAGAGGAAAAACTCCCTTTTAACAGGAAGAAACCTCCAGCAGAACCAGGCTCAGTGTGAGCGGCCATCTGCTGAGGCCGACTGGGGTTCAAGGAGACAGAAGCAGACATAGAAAAAGAAGCATAGATAGAAAAAGCAGCTGTAAAAGGCGGCCCCGTCCAGGAAATACACAATGCAATGTTGCCTTTGAGTCTTTGCACTATAACCTAAGAATGGCGCCAAATGACACAAAACTCGTATGAGTGAGTAGAACATGATGTAATAACGTATAATCAAGGGGCCAATGTAAAAAAAACCCTGCCATTTCCCTTTAAAATGTTTTCTTATTGTGCTTCTACCTATCTTGACATTTATTTTCTGGCATCTTTATATTAGTAAAGAGGTTCACAAATCTTTTTGAACAGAGCACAAAGAGAAGTAGGGAGAGCTGCAGATTTAAAGGTGAAACAGATTTACTAGGAAGCTTAAAAGGAAAAATGTGCTATGTTATATTTAAAATTAAGCATATCAATATTTTTATGGATGAAATTTTAATTGTACTTCTAGGGATGTATGATATACTCATTTTGGCATTGGAATTGGCTGCTATTCATTATTATTATTATTTTTTTTTTTATATGTTAATGTTTTTGGGCACAATAATGTAATGCACTAAAAGGTTCTAACTATCTTTAAATAAATATCAGTGCATTATCATTCTCTTGTGTTCTCAACAATTGGAAAGCATTCAATAAATATATCTTTGAGCTCATTTTTGGAAAATACTAAAACCTAATAAAAACGTTCAAGTTAAGTAGCTGTACAGTAGATCCATCAGCCTCCACCTGAGTGTCCTCACCAACTTCCATTAAGGTTACACCCTTGGTTAAGGGTCTTTCTCAGAGAGCCAGAGTGGAGGCTGTGAGGATCTCAGCACATCTAACCAGCAGGCCAACATTCCCCAAAATGTAACAGAATCGATGGCCCTATGAGGGGCAACAGTGGGGTGCAACCTGTAAATATGCTGCACTAGCCGGGACTTGAACCCGGCTCCCAGCGCCACAGTAACACTACTGTATTTCTGTCTTAATGCACGGTTGCCTTTCCTACCTTCGTCCACCAGGTGGCGGTATATACAAACCAATGTGAGCCATCGACGCAGAGGAAGCGGTCATGTTGTGTAACTTCCGCTGTTCGCTGTCTCCCCTCTTGTAACCGGTTGTTGTCACATTTCGGTAAGTTAGAGATTTTAAAAGCCGCTCTAGTATTTATTTTCCACTGCTGTTATATTCTGCGGCGGTGAACCTTTCATTTAGTTCATGTTTGAAGCTTCGGGATTATTTTTTAATCTGGCTTTGATTGCAGCGACCTTTATTCAGACGTCCTTGACAGCAGCAGCAGCAACTGCAGCGGACATTTGTTGGTTTATTCTCAGAAAAACGGAGGTTAGAGGTGAAACAATCTGAGCTCTGTGAGTGTTTAGTCCGGTGTTATCCAGGTTAGAGTCTCCTGGAGGCTCGGTGAGAGCAGAGGTCTGCTTGTTGGTCCTCAGAAAGGAGTGAAATCAGCCTTTAATGGTCAATTATTTCACCAAATCTTTCATCTGTTAATAGCAAAGACCTGCTGACTGCTAATGTTTCAGACCAGATGTTTTAATCATTTAAAAACCTAATTCTTCCCTAATGTTTTTCTTAATTTAGAGATTTAACCAAAAATGTTAAAATTCAAAAAGGCTTCAACCAGGGGCGGATCTAGGATTCTAGGAGATCAGGGGCCCTGAGGGTAGACTTTCTGCTTAATCCAGTTCTAATGTAAAATATGACAGATTACTGGATTAAGGACATTTCTGGTATACAACATGCTATCACACATAACAATTCCCCCTCCATAACATGGGGAGAAATGAATTCACCTGCAAGTCTTTAACTGTGTTTATTTCCCTCTTCATCAACATTAAATGCTGTGATTTTTGGAAGCATTTGCTCCTTATTTACCAGAGTTATGAGAGGGGGAAATTTATTTCAGCTGGCTGAAATGGTTACACTGGGACATCAGTCTGTTTAGCAACAGCTAGAGGTGACTTCTTCTGCGTGGAATGCTACAGGCTGCTTTCCTACTCATGCTGCCACTACCTGGTGAATTCCAGTACTGCACATTTTGCTCAGATCCGCTCACCATGTAATACACCATACTATAGCAGAAAAAGCTTGATTAGGGGCAGGCTAGAGATTAATTTTTTCTATTTCGAGAATAAAGTCATAAAATTACGAGAGTAAAGTTGTAATATTATGAGAATAAAGTCATCATACAACACCCCGTTTCAGAAAGAAAGCTTGGAGCTCCGTCCAGCAGATGACGGCCGACCAGCTCCACCAATCAGAGTCCACTTTGACATCCTGCCTAGTTTAAAGCTGCTGCTAAAAGATTTCCTGATTTGTCAAACCAGAGCCAAAGTATAACTTCACATGATGCTCCACATACCTCATTTTAGGGAACAAAGTGCTTCTTGTAGGAGTTGTCATAAAATACAACTTGTTTCTTGTAATTTTAGGACTTAAATCTCTTAATATTACAACCTTATTCTCGTAATTTTATGACTATTCTCATTGTGACTTTTTTCTCTTAATATTACAACTTAATTCTCCTAATTTTATGACTTTATTCTAATAATGTTACGACTTTATTCTCGTAATCTTAAGACTTCATTCTCATAATGTTACGACTTCATTTTCTTAATCTTACGACTTTATTCTCGTAATGTTACGAAAAGACGAAACCTTTTATTTTTTATCTCAAATGCAAAATATTTACATATTTTTAAAATCTTGGTATATTTGCTGCTCTAAGCAGTTCAATCTATCAGCTGAAGGTTTTAGAGTCTCTATAATCCGGTTAATGATTAACCGATTGCTAAATTGGTTGATGATTATTTCCATAATGGAATAAACTAATTGATTGTTTTTAGCCCTAATCCTGATATAGAAGAACTTTATAGATCTATTATTGGTGACAATGAAGCTGATCCATAAGAGCAGATCTACTCAGACTATCTCTATGCTTTGCTCTGTCAGAGACGTCATGCTGTGGTGACTTCCTGAGTCTCAGTAGATTTTCAGCATGCTTTTCCTCAGATAGATGATAAATGTAGCTTCTTCATACGTTTCATTCCTGCCTTCAGAGGAAAGTTAAAAACAGCCTCTTAAAAAATCAGCAGATCATAAAAGCAGACAGATGATTGCGATCAGCATCTACAGAGATCCGGATTCAGCTCTGAATCAGATCAGAAGAGGAAAATTGTCTGACTGTATGATGTAATGATTTTCCTCTGGGCTCAGAGACTATAACAGATGTCTTTATTCTGTGTTTCTGATTTCAGCTCTAACGTCCTGATGGCTGCAAGCTTTCGGTATCTTTACTCCGTCTCCAGGACAGGTAGGAGTTTCACAACATTTCTTTTTGTTAGAGTTACTGGTTTTAGAATTGCATCATAAAACACAGAATTGGCTTTTTATTAACTTTATTTTTAATTTATCTGCAGGCACTTTGGCTGCAGGCCAGCTGAGGTCCTTCAGTGTGTCTGCACCGAGGACTGGGTTCAGTAAGTACCGGCTCAGTTCCAGTAAGACCAGTAGCCATAGCTCCATGTGTTTATCCTCATTTATTTCGGGTCCTCACACATTTCCATGTTTTAGTGACCTACTGAGGACTGTGTGCTGATTTCCATTCTTATTCTTTTCAAAGGGATTTTTCTGTTTCTCAGTGAGTAATATTGCAGCCGCCCACCAGAGGGCGCTTAGGCTGAGGGTTACCTGAGTTTGCAACAGAATGATGCCAGATGGGAGGCATGCTAGAGTAGAATTAGTGGAAATAACCCAGAGACCAAAGTCTTATTTAATATGACATATTAAAAAAAATCAGCATCCAGCGTATGTGCAGCTTCTCTTCTTCCATTCCTGCAATAACAAATTTGTTTTGAAGTTGCCCTCTTGGAAGTTGTTGTGACTGAATTAATTTAAACTTTTAAGCTTCTCGGTATAAAATAAATAGTTTGATAAAGATTAGAACTGCTTCCTGATATGTTGAGGTATCAATAGTTTGCATCCTATCATTTAATTTAAGGCTCTTAGTTTTTGGGAATATATAAGAATTATGCTCTAATTTGTAGCTACCGATCTGTCGTTACCGTATTTTAATTTGACAAACCGGATCTTCTTCACATTCTTTTTCCTGTTTGGTGCGAATGCATTTCTGTATATTGACCTGGCCGGCTTCCAAAGGACTGGAGCAAAAAAAAAATCTCTGCTTCATATGTTGTACATCCTCTCCGTCTGTGGATGGTGACCTGCGGCGGAGTAGAGGTGGATGTAGAGCAGTTCTCATTGATTAACACAACATACAAGCACTCCGCATGACGTTCGTGTGCAGAGCGAAGACAAAGGATGTGGGGATAATGGCGGCAAGGATGTTGAAAGAACTTTCTGTTTCTGTTTGTAAATATAAATTCCTTTAGTTCTGACCTAAACAGGCTCATTTAAACACCTGTTTAAAGCTCTGCTAGCCACACCGAATACCGGATTACACTATAAACAGAGAGCTACATCACAGTTAGCATCCGCCTCATTAAAACGAAGGTAATTAGTCTCACGGTATGTTAGAGTGGCATACCCTGGCTTATTGTCACAAAATGTCCCCAGCGTGGAACAATAAAAGGATTTTTCTCTTCTATTAAATCTTATTATTAAGGGTAAATACACTCAATTTAAGACTTTTCTACTTATTTGTAGATTGTTTTTCCAGTGTGGTCGTTAGTTTGATGGTGAAGTCAGAGAAAAAGGTCCTCAGTCTGATACCAAAACAGGAGCACACACCCATGAACACACGTGTCATTGAGCTCTCAGTTTGTGATGTCATCGACTCTCATTGATCCTGATCGTTTGTGTGCAGAGTATGTGAACGCCCAGGAGATCCCGACAGACCTGAAGTCCATCACAGACCGGGCTGCACAGACGCTGCTGTGGACGGAACTGATCAGAGGTCAGCCCACGCTTCCTTTACCTAAACCGTCATCAGTCAATCAGTCAGTGGTGACAGTTTATTAGATCCAGGTGGAAACGGAGCGGACGCTACGTTTTCTTTCTTCTTCATCCTTTCCGTGGAAAGCGGTTTCCTCCTCACAGCCGACCTGTTTGCTTTCAGGTCTGGGGATGACCATGAGCTACCTGTTCAGAGAACCGGCCACCATCAACTACCCGTTTGAAAAGGGGCCCCTGTCGCCGCGCTTCAGAGGGGAACACGCTCTGCGCAGGTAGGAGCCGTCCTCTACAGCAGCTTCACCTACCAACCAGCAGGACAGTTTCTGTTCCTGTAGCTGATATCTGATTATCAGGAAAGTGTTTGATGCTGTGTGGCAGGTACCCGTCAGGAGAGGAGCGCTGCATCGCCTGCAAACTCTGTGAGGCCATCTGCCCCGCCCAGGTAAGCCTGAACCAACAGGTACCTGCTGCTCTGCTGGCTTTAGGTTACAGAGAAAAACAAAGTATATTTTGAGTCAGAAAGTCAAGAAAAAGCCCGTTACCTCGGATCTCAAAGATGAAGGATGTAAACTTCCATCTTTAAAGGAAGAAGCAGCTCTGATGGTTCTGATCATGAGATTGAATGGGACCAGAGGAGCTCCCATCCTCTCTGTAAACCCCCGCAGTGACCACATTCCTCCTCTTCGTCTGGTTTCCAGGCCATCACCATTGAAGCAGAGACTCGCGCTGACGGAAGCAGGAGGACGACTCGCTACGACATCGACATGACCAAGTGCATCTACTGTGGGTTCTGTCAGGAGGCGTGTCCTGTGGATGCCATCGTGGAGGTGTGTACATCTGCTTCCATTATCCATCTCTGTCCAGGCTGTATCAGCTGCACCACAGCAGCCTGTAGGCTTGTTGGAAGGATCCCAGACGTGAGCAGGAACCCTGGTAGAGCTGCAGCTAATGCTACGTTCAGACCGCACGCTGCTGAAGCAGCAGGTTTACAAAGTCAATGATTGACACACATCAAGGCGCAGCAAAAGGTTCTGCAGCGAGTTTTGAGCAGCTGAAGCAGCGCCTCACGAGCTTCTGAGCATCTGAGGCGCTGCTCAAGCAGCAGATGCTAGAGATGGAAAAATGTAACTTTTCTGCTCGACGCGCCGCATCAACCAATCAGAGAAGCTGATCTGGGAGCTGGCAGGGAGACAGACACAGCACTGCTGATGCTGAGCACTATGATCACTTCTCTGAATCAGTTTATTAAAGCCTAAATGAACTTAAAATGTAGAAACCTGCTGGAAAAACACTTTTATTATCCTGGTGCCTGCAGTTTGGATTACAGATCTGAATTGCTTTCAACCGAGTACGAGTATTAGGCCTGGACAATGTGGCCTAAACCTTTTTATTTTGGTTGATACAATATCATTTTATAGCATCATAAACAAAAAATACATTATAACAACAAATAAAAGCCTCAGAAAGACTGCCAGGAATTCCATCAACAGATGCCTGAACTTGGTTATTAAAGTTATAATTTTTATTAAATTAATTTAATTAACGATTACTGTGCAAATCAATTAATATGTCGATAATTTTTTCCAAATCGATTAATTATCGGATAGCAAAAGGTGAATTAAAGAAGACTTTTTACGAAATTAAACCAGGTGAACTGAGACTTTTCCACTTGAGGAGTTCTGAATAGAGCATATTGACAGAGAATTTTATAATTCCTGCTCAAAGTGGGTCGCTCTGTCAGCTAAAGGCATGTTTTAGAGTCTCTATACTCAAGTTAACAATTAATCGATTGCTAAAATAGTTGAGGATTATTTCAATAATCGATTAATCAGATTAATTGTTTCAGCGCTGTTGTAAATGCAGTCGGTATCTTTATTTATCATGATAGAACAGTGTTGTTCAGAGCTACTATATTGTTCCCACACACCATGACTAAACAAGGATTTCTTTTTCCCAGCAGAGGAGTGAAAGGAAAGAGGAAAAGGACAAGATTTAGTAAGAAAATGTGCAAATATTATTAAAGGCTTAACCCCTTAAGCTGTAACGGTCTTAGGAGCAAATTCTGCCAGAAATGACATGTGGATTAAAGCAAGTACGGCTCACAAACTATAAATTGGAAATATAATTGGTTGTATTTTTGTGACAGAAAGGCATTGAGGAATAGTTTTCAGGTGGAATCACTATTTTAAATGTAACCATTTATGATTTATTGGTGATTAAACTAATACAAAATGAAAAATATTTAGCCTCACCAATTTGTTTTCCAAAATAAACCTGTAAAAAACTATGAAAGCCCATTTCAAACCCGGGATGAACCATCAGACTTTATAGATCCACATCTTGACTCTAAATCAATGTGGGCTGAATAAATTTAAGCATGTTTGTTTCACAAAGGTTTTAGTGGGCGGTGAGCTAGGCGGAAGAGCACTTTTGCACATTGACAAAAGTGTAAAAATGCATTTTTTTCACTCATAAAAGGAAACCTGGTCAGACAAATATGTTGATTTATATTATTAGAGACCTTTTGCATAAGGGAAAGCCTCTGCTCCTAAGATTTAGCCGTTGTTTCATTGAAATTTACCAATAATATCACCAAACTGAATAGAAAAGGAGAATAACAGGAAGCTAATGTAACACATGCCGGTTACATCATCTGAAATGGTCGCACAATGACGTCCGACCCCCCTTTGGAAAGTCTGAGCCTTTGCAAGACTAAAAGGAGGCTAAAAATGAACACCTGCTGTTGCATTTCTCCCGCAGAGCCACACATGTCAAGTGGAATTTTAAATCTCATTTTATTTGTTTGCACAGCAATAAAATAAAAAGTACTCATAAAGAAATGGTTAAAATGTTTTAAAGCCCCCTTTGAAAGGCGTGTGGATGAAACACCATGTGACTGTGGTTTGGACATTTCTATAAATAGATAAACATGAGCAGGTGTCAGTTGGGCCCTGTACCCGACCCGCCGGGCTTAACGGGTTAAGAGGAAAGTAGCGCTTTGAATACATAATTAACCTGGATGTTCCCTGAGGAGGGAACTAAAGCTGCCAGCAGATGGCGATGCTGAGCTCACCCAGTGCAGCTGCTCTTTCAGGCTCGGTTTCATGATTATTGTTACATGAGCACCTGGTTTTTAGTATTTTAGGTGACAAGGATGCTTTAAGGTAGAATAACAGCTAAAAACTGTTCATCAAACCTCTAAACTCCAAACTGTTCACAGCTTTTCTGCATAATTAAAATTTTCTTTAAGATGCTCAGATGGTCTCTGAAATCAGAGAGATAACGGGTTAAAAGACTCTGTCAAAATGAATGGATGGTTGTGGTGTCTTTAATAGTCCAGGTTGAGTGTTTAGCAACAGGGACCCACCACTAGCTAAGAAGTGTAATTACCCTGAGTGGAGAGCAGTTTGGTAAACGTTCCTTTCATCCCAAATCTCCTCCTTTTCTCAGGGTCCGAACTTTGAGTTTTCCACTGAAACCCACGAAGAGCTGCTCTACAACAAAGAGAAGCTGCTGAACAACGGAGATAAATGGGAGGCTGAGATCGCCGCCAACATACAAGCCGATTACCTCTATCGATAGACGCGGCACGCCGCCTACGTTCCAGGGGAAGACTTTAAAACGTGACACATGTTGTTTCTGTACATACTGTAAGAATACACTCTCAGCTATGGTCTATGTGCTTCAGGATGGATTCAGGTTTGTTGAAAGGAGCTTTTGTTAACAAGATAAGCCTTATTAAAACGTCAACATTTAAATTTTAGTTTCATTTTGTCATCTTGAATCTGTCTCTGTATCAGACTACTTTACTCAGTGTGATTTGGAGGCTTGTCATGAACCTGTACGGGTTTTCTGGGGAATCATAAGACGTGTCGTTCCTGCATTTAAATTTAGATTGTTTCAATATGATTAATGTAATTGCAGCAGTCATGATGCTCTGAAGTTCGTCAAGGTACAGTAGTATCAATCAGTGCTGTGGAGAAACATCTGCTGACTGGACAGAAGGATTCTTCATTTCTTCACTTTCAGAAGTCATTATTGGATCTAAATGTCAAGAAAAAAGGTTGAACTTGCTGCTCAATAGATTTCACTAAAGGGTCTTCAAACTGTTTTCACCTTGAAGCAAATAAACTTTGAATAAAAACAATAAATGAGATCTTTCATTGTGTTTGGAAATAAAGTATTTTTATGTTGAGAACATAAATGTAATTGTTGAAATAATGTGGGACTTTGTGCCCCTCTAACACTGCTTGTCTGGTTTGTACCTTAAAAACATTAGCTACATTGATGAGTGGCAAATCTGGTGGAATCTGACCAATTTATTGGTCCTCATAGAGGCTTGGTAGCCCAGGGTCCAGACCAGGAGGCAGAGTCATAACTCAACACAGCTTCCTTTCTATTACCCACCCATTAGCCATTCTTACCAAATCAGACCTCTACGTTTAAAAGAGCAAATCATGAAAACTTCTAAAGCGCTTACAATTCCAACTGTACATCAAGTTAAAAAAAATAAATGTAGATTTCACATTAAAATAACTTCAAATAATGTGTTGATCAATGACTTTATAAAAAAAATGGAAATCTAAATTAGTGCTTTTTTTAAATTGAGGTAAATGAGACACTTTGCAAATAGAAAAATGTAAACTTAAAAGAAGGAAAAACAGAAACAGTTGTCTTATTTCAAGTGCATATCGAATTTTTAAGATAAAGAAATCAAATTCCATTGGCAGATCTTATTTCAATCTGGAAAACTCACACAGAGAGAAAAGACAATTAGAAGAAATTTATTGATACAATTAATTAGTCCTTGGCGCTCAGACCCCCCAGGCCTGAAACTGGTGGTGGAGTGGAGATAGATGAAGTTGGTCAGTCTGTAGACTGCTGGTTAGAGACACGGTATGCTGAGCTTTATGGGGAGATCCAGAGGACTGCGTGAGCTGATGCTAGAGCTTCACTCAGGGACCTGGAAGATGGAAGTCCAGTTGGATAACACAGGTTGAGAGAACCTGTCCATGATGAGCAAGCATGAAGCGACAGTGGAGAGGAAAAACTCCCCATTTGGAAGAAACCTCTGGCAGAACCAAACTCAACATGGCATTCTCCTGCCAGACCAGTTGAGAGGAGACACAGAACGCAGTAAGAGTCCAAGAGGAATGACGCTCTGATGAAGCTTTAGCTACGATGGTGGAGGAGGGTTGAAACGGTGTTATGTGAATGAAGTCACATAGCACAACCACTGCATGCGCACAGGTAGCCAAAGGCGTAGCCAGAAAATGTTAATAAGAGTGGCCAGGTAATAACCATCGTACACTGAGGGGTGGCCAAAAGCAGATAGGCGCCAGAACCTCACAGTCAATCTGCACTGTATGGAGAGATATTTGTGCCATCGGTTTGAGCGCGCAGGAACCAATCCGAGCGTGCAGTGAGACAACACGCGCGCGCGCAAAACCGGTCTGGCGCGCGCTCAACTCTGAAAAACCCTCTCAACACACTGTTCTCGCGCTCAGTTTCATCTCTGCGCGTGCTCGAATCCGTCTCTGCTCGCGCTTGCTCTCCTGCTCTCTCTCCGCGCTCAACACCAGCTGTGCGCTCGGCTGTTTCTCCGCTCGCTCGACTCTCTGCGCTCGCAACTTCAGCAATGTATGTAAATGAACCATACCATCAGCCAATCACACCCAGCTTCTTTTCATCCAATGAAAGCATTCCTTCCTTCTTCTTCTTTTCTATCATGGCGGTTCGCAAGCAACTTCAAGGTGCATACCGCCACCTACTGTTCATGAGTGTGTAGCAACATTGTTTTACATCTATTAAATTCTATTTTTTAATTTTGCATTCTGAAGATAACTAAATAATGCTTTCCTTAATCTATAAACATCCTTTATATTTCCTTTATTTCCCAATAATCCTTTAAGACTCCATTCTTGGCCTGTCATTTCAACTACTCTTCTCAATTTTTCCCTTTCAGGTTCATATGTTTTACAGTTCATTAATATGTAAGCATTCGTTCCAAATACTACATCCGGTTAGATGAAAAAAAAATACATAAATAAATAAAAACACAATCAGGAAAATCAAACAACTCTTACGGTTATTTTGTCAACATTCCTAAGATAGTACTATAAAATATCTTGAATTATCTCAAATAAACTTCAGTAAAACAGTTATTAGATCATTGCCTCATCCATCTCTTTTACCTGCTATTGACATGGATTTAAATTTGCTGTTTTAAAAGAAAAATAAGGAGGATATTTCAGGTTCCAGTATGGCTCTCTTCGTCCTCTGGCATGGGAGCTGCCTTGGAGCTAGTCTGCCTGGCTGCGTGTTTCCTGGACGGGGCCGCCTTTTACAGCTGCTTTCTGTATCTCTGCTTCTGTCTCCTTGAACCCCAGTCGGCCTCAGCAAATGGCCGCTCACACTGAGCCTGGTTCTGCTGGAGGTTTCTTCCTGTTAAAAGGGAGTTTTTCCTCTCCACTGTCGCTACAAGCATGCTTAGTGTGAGGGATTGTATTTGAGTCGATGCAATCAACTGGTTTTCCTTAGATAGAAAACTTTGTATCAATTTGACTGTATGATCTGGTTGAACTGTAAAGTGCCTTGAGATGACATGTGTTGTGAATTTGGCTCTATATAAATAAACTGAATTGAATTGAATTGAAATTAGAGGGAAAAAATGGTAGGGGGGGCCAATGATTGGCTAAGGGTGGCCATGGCCACCCCCGGCCCCCATCTAGCTCCGCCCCTGTAGGTAGCAGGTGAGTTGCGGATCGGAGGCCTTTTAAGACGAAATTTGGATGCTGACTGGCTTTTGTGGAGGCGTCGTTCAAAGCTGATTGGCTGTGTTGCAGGTGGATGTAGGAGAGCAATCAGTTTATTCAGTTGAACTTCCACCTAGGCTCCATTTACTTACTCACATCAAGGCTAAATACACTTTATTTAGGACACGTTCACTTATTTCTGGATAGTTTTTGTCGTGTTTTGTGATGATCAGATTTTGTCTTACAGAAACCTGCCTGCAGCAAGAGGACCGTGTGAATTAGTATTATCATTATATAAGTATTATCAAAATGTTTACATTCTCAGAAATATTTGGCAAGAAGGAGAAGTAGCAACCATCTTTCAATCTGATCTATTGATTAGTCCCAGGCCAATTGCTTATTTTTATCTTCATTTTACACATTCAGATAACAAAGTACTAAAACTATTTGAGTTTGTTATTTTGTATCATCCACCAGGTCCTTAGTATTATTTTTAGCTCTGCTTTTAATCCTATCTGATTTAGTGTTAAAGACTGATGAGATTGATAAAGTAGGAGATTTAAACATTTGTTATTACTCTGAAAGTGACAGGTTCAAATGTGGCCTTTAATGATACTCAGCTGGCTTTGCTCAAACACTAATACAGCTACCATGTATGCCACTATAACCCTGTCCTTTCTGAGCATTTTCGATCAATAAGCTGTTCACCCAGGATAGAAAACATTATTATAATAGATCATTATCCAACGATGTTGTAAAAACTGTTATTATAGAATCACTCCTATTTCTGGTTTTTCTCATTATCATTAAAATAACAGCCGAAGGCAGCAATCTAATTTCTCCCTATCAAAATCTGATGATGCTGTCTAAATTGTTATTTCTGATTGTGTGTGGCATTAGATAATGTACCTCCTCTCACAAAAAAGAGGTGGGGGGGGCTTAGTGCATGGTTTATTTCAGAACTGCATACCTTAAAACACATCGCTAGAAAATGTAATAGAATAAGACAGAGCAGACCTAAAAGACCTGGGAAAATAATCTATTGTTTATATTAAATTGCATGAAAGGAGGTCCTTTCTCCCAGCTGTCAGTAATAGTAATTACCAGGAGTAATTATTTTAGAGATAAATTAAATTAAAAGTAAAATCATAGCCATCCTTCAGAATATGACAAACTACTAATCAGTCTGTGAGGCAGCATCTAAGGTACCAATAGAACCTGAACTGTGTTCTTCGTGAGTTATCAAAAGTATTACCTCTGCTGGAGTTTTTCCTCTCCACTGTCGCTACAAGCATGCTTAGTGTGAGGGATTGCTGAAGAGTCAATGAGTCGATGCAATTGTCCAACAGATTTAGGTTTGTTCATGTTAACGACTAATTTTCTTCCAACTCCAGGGTTACTTGTAAGGTTTTGGCCAATTTCCATCAATATATACTGTATATGCTGCAAAGACACGATATATTTCTACTGTTACTCCAAGCAGATGATACTCAGCTGTATTTGTTCATAAATCCTGATAAAACGAACCCTTTAAATTAACAACATGCACGTCTCAAAGAGATAAAAACAACTAGATGCCTTTAAATGTCTGCTTTTAGATTCAGACGAGACAGAACCTATCTTTGAAAAAGAAGGAGGGGCTAACATTATTATGGACAAGGTAATTGGTCTGCAATTGTGTTGCTTTATAGGATAACCAATCAGATGTCAGAGTCAATTTAAATTTACACCTCTATCAAAAAAGACCAAAAAACATTTGATCGTGATAAAATAAGTTAATAAACACCAAGTGTCCATCCTGATAGTGTGCAGATCTTTGCTTAGAAAATTTTAAGTCCTAATAGAATCCTTGTACCAGGTGCATTGAGCAGACATAAACACGTTTGCACAATTTTCCGGTCGTACTGCAGGACTTTCAGAAAGCCAGATGTCGATAGTTTACACATTAAAAACATACGTCTTTAAATGCTTAAATCAGGGTTGAAAGTTTTTTCCAGGATTTTTCCATGGTCTTTTTTGGGCCAGAAAAAAACTGTTTCTTTCAGTTTCTTCTGGAAGTTCATTTTTACTGTAAAGTTTTGTAGCTTTTTGTGAATATTTAGCCTTCAGAGGGCCCAGATCCAGTAATAACCTTGAGGTGGGGTTCAATATCAATAAACCAGGGAGGTTTGGGCGCATGAAGAGCAGAAGAAAGGAAAGAAAAAGAAAGCAAGCTGGTGGATTCTGCTATATTGCTGCTGTTCTGTTCTGTATGTGTAAATGCAGTGTTTCAACACAGTTGTCACTTTGCAAGTTTTGTGACTAATAGTTATTCATTCATCTAGATTTATATTAAATCCACTTAAACAATTATATAAATTCCTAATTTATGTTACTATGTGTATTCACCTGAATATTTC